ATATATATATATATATATATATACACATGTCATTATATATATATATACATCACATTTTACACATACAAAACACGTAATTATCGTTGATAACAGAAAATTCAAAGTTTAATTTTTTTTTATATTTTGATTAAAAATCAAATCTATTATTAATTTGATTATTAATTATTAATATTTGCGAATTGAATTTTCATTATTCATAATACTTAATGCATATTATAAATAAGCATTTAATAATATTTAATAATTTTTAAAATTATATAATAAATGACATGTTTATTTATTTATGAATTTTAAATTAATTGGAAGACAAATATTCAGTTAACAGGAAATCAACGCAAAAAAAATTTCATTGTATTAATATTGTTTCATTAGCTAGCGTCAAATTTCAATGTCGAACCTTACCCTCTATTTCACTCACATTCAATGTTTCTTACTCTCATATGCGATGCATTTAAAAAACGAACGAGTCGAAGAGAAATAGCAACCTATAATTCTTAGGATGGTACCTCCCTCGATAATAGGCGCGTAGCAAACCTAAACGTGTGACTAATAAACAAGAAATACAGTAGTGATAACAAAATGGTTCTCGCAGATTTAGGACGTAAAATAACATCTGCACTTCGATCCCTTAGCAATGCAACTGTCATTAATGAAGAAGTAAGTACAATTCTATACAACAACATAACCTAAAATTCATTTGACACAAGTCATTAAAATTCTAACATATGTTGGTTTATTTTATTCGACATATTATATTTTGAATATTTTTTAAACATTTTCACTTTTTCAATATAATAATTCAATAATTTAATAAACTTTAGAAAGTACGATATATATATTTTATCGAGAAGTCAATATAACAATTATAAAGAAATAAATTATTATCAATAGAAATATCGTAACATTTTATATCATTATTTTATTATTAATTTTATCTTATTTTTATTTAGGAAATATTCCCGAAAAAAATATACGATACGTCATTATATATATACGTATGATAAAATTAATTCAAAATTTATTTCGGTCATAATTTTTGTTTATATTTGTATTTGTTCAAAAAGCAATCGGATAAAGATTTAGAAATGTAATCTGATTTAATAATATAAATGAATTGAATTTATTTTCTAAATTTTTTAAATTTTTTAAATTTTTCGATTGTCTTTGGAATTAATATTATTTAAACGAAATAGTAATTATTAAAAAAAAAAAAAAAAACACATTGAGAAATATAATACAAATATTTTTCTCAAATAAGTACATACATATATATATCTATATCGCTTCTAAATATAAAAGTAGATTCTTAAATATACGATTATCAAAAAATTTTAGATTATTAAAAAATTGAAATATATATATAATAAAGAATTCATGATTCCTTTATCATAATTTTTATATAATTTTTTTTAATATATCAGAAATATTATTCAAGGAGATAAGAACGATTAAAAAATTTTCATTATTTATATTCTTGGAAAATTTTTTATTTTTCTTATATATATTAATTTCTATTATAAAATATATTCATAAAAATAGAGATGGTGTTTATATATAAATTTAAAACAATGAAATATTAATCGTTTCAAATTTTTTATTTTTATAATTATACGTATTCAGAATGACAAATAGATAAAATTAAAATTAGCTATTCTATTTACACATGGAACAAATGTTTGAAATAAATTTTAATAATATGAAATAACATAATAATATTTTATTATTACATTAATATCTCTTCTTCTTATATAAATTTTTTTATAGGTTTTAAATTCTATGCTAAAGGAAATATGCGCGGCATTACTTGAAGCAGATGTTAATATCAGGCTTGTCAAAAAATTAAGAGAGAATGTACGTCTTGTAATTGATTTTGATGATATGGCTGGTGGTCTTAACAAAAGGAGAATGATACAGAGCGCTGTATTTAAAGAACTTGTAAAGGTAAAATGAATAATTTATTTATTTTTTGAAAACAAATATTGAAAATAAATATTTTTCCAATTAAGAAATATTAAAAGGAAATACATCTAATATTAATTATATATGTATAATTTAATTAAATCAAATTAATCATCGTAGGATTTCAAAAATAAATTTTGTTAGCTTTTAATTTTATTTGCATATATGTAAACAATTAAAATAATTATCATATTTAGAATTAGAATCATTAAATATTTTATTCCAATCGATTCATAAAATTGAATAATTTATTTCATTATTTTTCAACTTTTTTAAAAATGATATTTATGAAATATCTTATGATACAATTTGTTACAGCTTATCGATCCTGGAGTGAAAGCTTATCAACCAATCAAAGGAAGACCAAATATAATCATGTTCGTCGGTTTACAAGGTTCAGGAAAAACAACTACTTGTACGAAGCTTGCTTATCATTATTTAAAGAAAAATTGGAAGGCTTGTTTAGTTTGTGCAGATACTTTTCGTGCTGGTGCGTACGATCAAATAAAACAAAATGCAACAAAAGCAAGAATTCCATTTTACGGAAGGTGAGTAATTAATTAAAGTATTACTTATTATATTTCTTCATTAAAGCAAGTATAAACGAATAAAAATATTTAAAAAATTTAAATATTTTAAAAGTATTATCGGTATTACATTAGGAAATTTTTACTAAAAATTTAATGTTACATAATTAGAATTCTAAAAATTAGAGTTCTTGACAATCTTTTTTATATTATTTTTTTTTTCAGATTTAATAATAATAACATAATTCGTAATTTCGAAATAATTATAATTTTACAATTTATCGTATAATGATATAAAAGAATATAAATTTATTTTTTAGTTATACCGAAGTAGATCCAGTTACAATAGCACAAGACGGCGTTGAAATGTTTAAAAAAGAAGGTTACGAGATCATTATCGTTGACACAAGTGGTAGGCACAAACAAGAAGAATCTTTGTTCGAAGAAATGCTTCAAGTCGCGAATGCAATTGTAAGTATAATATTAAAATCGATAATAATTAATCCATATTATTATTAAATTTACAAAACATCGTAAAAATGAATAAATTTTGAATATTTTAAAATTAAAGAATTTTTAAATCAATATATATGATTCATCATTATTATTAAGAACAGATTAAATATATCTGAAATATTATATCTGAAATATTATATGAAGATATAATATAACAATAACTATGATCTTACATAATTAATTAATTACAACAAGCATTATTATACATTATTATTATTATAAATAATATATTATATTATATAAAACACCTTATAAAACCTTTTAAATTTAAATGAAAATGATTTAATAATTGAGAAAAAAATATAAAAAGAATTTTTAAATATAAATATATTTCTAAATATCAAGGAAATAGCTTACAATATTGATATAATGATATTGATCGAAATTTGAGATGATTTTGATAAGAGATTCCCAATCGCGATTAAATTTTTAAACAAGAATCTAATTATTTTTGATATAATAATTTTTAAAGTTAATTTACTGCCGATATTGATCATTTTATACAGACTGTAAGAAAATTATTCGATCGAATTCTCAAATATGTTATAGCAGTTCTAAAATGTCAACATTATCTCCGAAAATTCATATTTTAGAAATAACTTATGAAAAATATATATCCACAGTATTTTGAAAATATTCTGAATAATGACTTATTAACTTTAGCTTTATTATATATATATTACAAAAAATACGCTATAAAATATGCTATAGAATATATATAACTACAAAAAAAAATAAAGAATTCCCATACGATATGTTGTCAATCGTTAAGTTTTTCAAAATTTTCTTAATCTCAATTATATTGAGAATCAAATAAATGTCAGTACGATACGTTTTGTTCTTCTATAATTTTTGTCCGAAACATTTTTCAAATATATCTTTCATATTTTTCGATATATTTAATCGTTTTTAAATTTTATTTTAAGATAAATCGTACGTTAAATTTACGTGCGTGTAATTTTTATACAAAATGCACAATATTGTAAATTTGTGTAAAAACTCGTATATTTATTTTAATTAATAAATATAATTTATTATTATTTCTAGCAACCAGACAATATAATTTTTGTAATGGATGCAACAATAGGTCAAGCTTGCGAAGCTCAAGCAAAAGCTTTTAAGGAACGTGTTAATGTCGGTTCTATTATTATTACAAAACTCGACGGACACGCAAAAGGTGGAGGTGCTCTTTCAGCGTAAGTATTTATAATTTCTAAAAATAATTTTTTCAAACTTTTTTATAAATTAATTTTAAAAAATTTTTTTTCGAATTCTTTTATGATATCGTTACGCGTTCATAATTAATCATCGTTAATCAACGATCGAACATTCAATTAAATATCGTATGGTCTCAAATGTTAATATAAAAAACAAGATTATTCAAGACAACAATAATATCGAAAGATATCAATAATAATATTATTATTATTTTTAAAATATTTCTTTTTTTCTTTCTTTTAATCAATCGAATCATTTTAATCAAGCATTATAATTGAATAATTTGAATATATAATTGAATATATAATTGAATATAATTGAATAATTAATTTGAAGATTAAAAAAAAAAAAAAACGTTTGTAATCAATAGAGGTTCTTGATATTATGTAAGTATATTTCTATAGGGTTGCTGCAACACAAAGTCCAGTAATCTTTGTAGGTACAGGAGAGCATATAGATGATCTAGAACCTTTCAAAACAAAACCTTTTATCAGTAAATTATTGGGTATGGGCGATATCGAAGGACTTATAGACAAAGTCAATGAATTAAATCTCGATGATAACGAAGAATTACTCGAAAAAATCAAACATGGTCAATTTACTTTAAGGGATATGTACGAACAATTTCAGAACGTTATGAAAATGGGACCATTTTCTCAACTAATGGCAAGTCTTATTTTTCTAATTTTTTTTTTTTTTGTTATAAAAATTGTTTCCATATCTATAAAGAAGTTTTATATATATATAATAAATTTATAAGATACAAATATCGCAAATAATTGTACTTATTTCATTTTCTATTTAATTCATATTGGATTTATTAATTAGAATATTTAAATTACATTATTTAATTAGACTAAATGTAATTTTTTTCATTAGGGAATGATTCCTGGCTTCAGTCAAGATTTTATGTCGAAAGGTACAGAACAGGAATCTATGGCAAGACTAAAACGTATAATGACCATCATGGATAGTATGAACGATTCAGGTTAATTGTTCTTTTTAATCAAGTACTCGTTATTTTTATACCTTTATACATTTTAAACATGAAATTTTAAATCTACATCTGTATATATCGTATGAAGCGATATGAAATTTTCAAAAAACATGAAGAAGTATATGCAAATAAATAATTTTCTAAATAAAATTTAGATAGAAATAGAGAATTATCTATTAATAATAATTCGTGTTTAATCGGATATCGGCTAATTTTATTTATATTTTCAATTTTCAAATAAA